CTGTGGATAGGAAGAGCATAGTCTGTATAGGAATTGATTTTAAATATCCACTCAGGTGCTGGAATTTACTCTTCATGAATAATAGAGGAAACTATTCTGCTGTCAAGATTCTGTTGTTTTTCACCTGGGAAGATAACTTCTTTTAGTGTTTCTTGTAATGTGGATCTGCTAATAACTGTTTCAGTTGTTATTTCTCTGGAAACATCTGCATTTCACCTTTGTTTTTAAAGTTAGCTGTTACAATACGTTAGCTGTTACAATATATATGCAGTGCTATTGTCAGACCTCTGTTGTTGTTGGTTTTTTTTTTTTTTAGACAGGGTTTCTCTGTGGTTTTAAAGGCTGCCCTGGAACTATCTCTTGTAGATCCACTTGCCTCTGCCTCCCAAGTGCTGGGATTAAAGGTGTGAACCACCAACGCCCAGCTGTCTCTGTTGCTTTTAATAAGAAATTATATCGTAAGTTTCTATGATTAGTGAAGCAGTTGTTTTCAAGACATTGGCTTTTTTATTTTCAATATGCTAGTGGACACTATTAAATGTTTATATTTGTAATTCACTGAGTTTCCTGTGTGTATAAGTTTATTTTTTATCTCTTTTTTTCATTTATTTATTCACTTAGGGTGTCTCTGTGTAGCTTTTTAGACCAGGCTGGCCTCGAACTCATAGAGATCCTCATGCCTCTACCTTTAGTATAAGCTGATTTTTAAACAAAGTCTTCTAATATAATATTGTTGCATTGTCTCTTCAAAATATTTCATTATGTTTTCTCTCACTCTCTAACAGTGTGTGTGTGTTTGTTGGTAAATGTCTAATTTTTTTTTCTGAGATCACTTTCCATTTTTTCCTCTTTGATTTGCATTGTTATTTTTATTTTCCAGAGTTCATCATCTCTATTAGTCTTTAGATCAGTGGTTCCTAACCTTCCTAATGTTGCAAACTTTTAATACAGTTCCTCATGTTATGGTGATCACACAACTACTTCATAACTGTAACTTGGCTGGTTTTGAATTGTAATGTAAATATCTGATATGCAACCTCTGCAAAGATATCAGGACCCATAAGTTGAAACCATTGTTATAGATCAATAATTAATATTTTGCTTTACTTGTTCTAATTTGTGATTGTCCTTTTGGTGAATTTTAAATTTTAGTTATTATTTTGCATGCTAACTGAGAAATCTACCAACTGAGCCATATCTATGTTTCATGGAGAAACAGCTCAGAAGTTAAGACCACTGGCTGCTCTTCCAGAGGTCCTCAGTTCAATTCCCAGAAACCACTCAGAGGCTCCCAACAATCTACAATGAGATCTGGTGCCCTTTTCGGGCAGGCAGGCAAACAGAACACTGTATCCATAATAAGTAAATACCTCTTTAAAGGTGTAAATAAAAAATAAATAAAAATAAAGATGACAGCTGGGTGGTGGCGGGGGTGATACGTGCCTTTAATCCCAGCACTGGGAGGCAGAGGCAGGCAGAAGCAGCCAGATCTCTGATTTGGAGGCCAGCCTAGTATACAGAGTGTTCCTATGCTATACAGTGTTCCTATACCAAGACAGCCAGGTCTATGCAAGGAAAACCTGTCTTGAAAACAAAAACAAAAATAAACAAACAAATAAACAAAAAAGCCGGGCAGTGGCAGCATACACCCTTAATCGCAGCACTTGGGAGGAAGAGACTGGCAAATCTGTATGAGTTCTAGACCACTACACAGTGAGTTCCCTGGACTGGCTCCAAAGCCAAACCCTGTCACAAAAAAAGAAAGAAAGAAAGAATGAAAGAAAGAAAGGAAGGAAGGAAGGAAGGAAGGAAGGAAGGAAGGAAGGAAGGAAAAAAAAAGGGATTCTCTCCCAGAGAGTTGAGAATGAGCATGAACCTTGACACAGGCTGATTTTTACATTTCTGGCTCTCATGTGCAAAAGAACAACTCTCTGCTCGCTTAAACCCTCTGGATTAGAAGGTATTATGGTAGCCCCAGAAAACTAATGCATCTACCAAGTAAGCCTTTATTATTAAGATTTTTAAAAAACATTTAGTTAGTGTGTTTGTGTGTGAGTGGGTGCAAGAGTATGGAAGTCAGAGAACAACTTGAGCCAGTCTGTTCTCTCCTTCATTATGTGGGTCCTGGGGACTGAACTCCGATTGCCAGGCTTGGTGGCAAGCACCTTTACCAACTGAGCCATTTGCCAAGTGAATTAGTTTTTTTTTTCTTTTCTTCTTTCTTTCTTTCTTTCTTTCTTTCTTTCTTTCTTTCTTTCTTTCTTTCTTTCTTTCTTTCTCCCTGTGGTATTTCCATGCGGGCAGGTTGGTCTCACAATCACTGGGTAGCCAAAGATGGTGTTGAACTCTTAATCCTCCTACCTCAAATTCTCAAGTGCAAGGATTATGAAAACACACTGCCTGGCAACATTTCACATTTTTCTACATTAATCCATTTTTACTGTAACAGATGAAAATTTGCCTCCTCTCCTAATGAAAACTTTGAAATAAATATAAAGAAGGATAGCCACTTGGCTCAGTGGGTAAATGCACTTGCTGCCAAGCTTGATAATCTACAGATTCAGTACTGGGATGCACATAATGGGGGAGAGAAAACCAATTCCCACAGGTTGTTTTCTGACCTGCACATGTATAAACACACAGGGCAGGGGTAAGAAAAAAATTGCCACAGGTTTAAGACTGGTGATCCTGTGTAATAAAATATTTCAAAGTGTCTATTAATTAACATTAGTTCTGAACAATGAACACTTTTTGTGGGAAAAAATCATTTCAAAAATTTCCTTCTTACCTACTTTAGAAAATTTGTCCTAGTTCATTTGTTTCTTGATTATCATCTCCAAAACTCATCCTTACTGACTGTTCTGTGGAAATGGGTTTATGCCTTTAAATAGCTTTCCTTTTGTCAGTTCACTTTGTCAATTGAAAACATTAGAAGCAATGCCAAGAAATTTAGCTTCCTGAAGTGTTCATTGGGTAGTCTATGCCTGAAACGAATGGAAATAGCTCTCTCCAGCCCCCTTCAGTCTTCTTCTGGACTGAGGATCCTTCTGCCTCAGGCACCGTAGGGTTGAGATTACAGGTGTACCAGATCACACAAGCTCATATTTATTTCCTTTACTCCTAATCCATTATCACTTCAAATTCCTATGAAAATAATTATTTCCAGGTGACATCCCCCCATATACACAAGAAATAAACATTTAAAAATAATTGTTACAAAAAGTAATTTCTTACCTTAAACATCTGTAAATTTGGGGGGTTTTGTCTCTTAATGACATCCAAATCAATAGTTAAGTGAGTACAGGGTTAATCATGTCACATACCTTTTGGAATAGAACACAAATATATTCTCACATAACTTCTACAGAAATTCTGTAAGTTAAATAAATATGGCAAGCATTATTTATTCTTATATTTTACATATGAGGAATACAAATAATAAAATATGAGTACTCTAAAGTAAAATAGTAGTCATTTTAATTATCTGTATAATGAAGAAAAATAACCTGTCTCCTAGGTCACTGTAAGAATTAAATGAATGGCAGCAGGTAACATATGTGATAATGACTTGGTAAAAGTTAACTGTTAGTTATATTATATTGAACTATAAAAATTATTACTGTTTCAGTAAACCCCCTACAATGATTTTCTGAAGTTTTTTATTTCTTTTATCTGCCTTTTCAAATAATGATCATACCAAAGATAAACGTAGCATTTCACAATTACCTTATATTATTATTAATTTCTGAATGAAAGAAATGGGCAGAAAGAGTTATCGAGGATATACTAGTTTATGTTAATGTAATGGAATTCTAGGCCCACTGTGGTACTACTGGCTGAGCTTTCTATATCAGAAGACCAAGTTCTCTCTTTAGCCATAAATTTAGATGACCTTCATATTTGAGTATTTTCAAATGTAAATAGTGTATACAATTCAGTTTGTTTTTCCTGATTTCAAAGCATACAATGAGAACAGAATGTTAAAAGGAAGTGGGTAAGTGAACCAGTTTACTCCATCTGTGTCAATTATTATACAATTCCTTTTGATCAGTGATGATTTAACTAACCCATCACCAAGAGTCAATTCTGTGCTAAGAGTGGAGACTACACATTAAAATAATTGTAGTCTCAAACCTGTAGAAAACAAGTTTGTGACTTATGCCTGTGATTTGAGCCCCAGAGAATGAAGGAAAGAGGATTGTCACTGAATTCCAGGTGAGTCTCATAAATAGTGAGAACATGTCAGAAAATATTACAAAACTAAAGAAACCATCCATTTCTATCCAAATTGCAATGGAAATTTAAGAACTTTTAAAAATGTTTTCTCGGTGTTTCAAAACAGAGTTCAAACTTAACCTACAGGAATGGAGAAAATACATTGCACATTTCAAAAGGTGGAAATGGCTTCGTGGTTAAAGTGTAAATTTCTTGTGCAATACTTGTCAGAATCAAGGGGGATACTTTAAGTGGTTTTCTACAAGAATATTATCTCCATACTCCGGTCAAAATTTAAGTACAGCACTTTCATTTGGTGAAATGTTCCTTCCTTGAACACAACACTTTTTTAGTGGCTAGCGTCGTTTCTTTGGGGTAGAGACGGGGCAAACAAATTAAATCCTTTCGTGACCTAAGGTTGTTAGTTAGGTCAAGTTAGTCCCTCACAAGTTTCTCATGAAAGCTTCCCTCACCGGAAAGGGTCCGATCGTTCTCACAGGAAGGGTAAGCAACTCCAGAGCTAAGGGACGCCACCACAGAGTTTTACAGAGGTTGCCAGAGCGTCTGCCTGCGTTTAGCACCTCTTCCTCCTTCCCTGGGCAGTAACTAGGAAACCTCAGGCCAGCTTAGGCGGCAGGAGCTCTTAGTGCCTCTGGCGGCGAGCCTTGAGCGCTGCAAGCTGCTCCCTCCCCTTTCCCCCCTTCCCATGACTCCACCCCTTTTGCCCCCGCCCACCCCTCAGCGACTTCGGCTCCTCCCTCTCCTTCTCTCTTGCTCTCCTTCCTCCTCCGCCTCCTCAGCTCTTGGGCTAGAATATCTATGGGTCGAAACGTGATGCGATGAATCCGAGAGAGACCGAAACTGGGACGAGGAGTGCGGCGGAAGCGGCGGGACTCCCAAGCATGGGGGCTTCATCACAATAGAGGCAGCACCCCCACCCGCCCCCGCCAGCCCTCCGGAGAGAAGCCCCCAAACCCCCTCGGGAAAAGGATGGCGGCGGCACCTACCCAGATCGAAGCCGGTGGGTAGCTGAGCCGGGGGCTAGAGGGACGGGGGCTTTGCGCGACGGCTGTCAGAATTTTTTTTTAAAGCTTATATCTCTCTTCCTTGCCTCTCTCTCAACATCTCCCCTCACCCCCCACCCCTTCTTTAGAGCTGTATTACCTGATCGCTAGGTTCTTGCAGTCCGGACCCTGTAACAAATCCGCTCAGGTGAGAGGGAGAAGGATATCTGGGAGTGTTGGGAAATGGTCCCAATGGGGAAATTGAGGCACCGGGTGAGCAGTGCAGTGGAGGGTGAGGGAAAGGCCGGCCTCGATTAGTCCTACAGTCAGCGGCTGTGTTGGAAGTGGGGAGGGAGGAATGGGTTGGCGCCCCAATCTGCTCCTCACACCCGTGTTTCCCTCTTCCTCAGGTGCTAGTGCAAGAGCTCGAGGAGCATCAGGTAAGGACCCCCTTTGGGAAGGGCTGGGGAGGGCTGGGGAGAAACTAGAAGAAGGGTAAGGTAGGTCAGGGGCCGAGGGCAGGGGCCCGGAGAGAGCCTTCGAGCTGGACACTCTGGGCTGTTGTCACTTGGGGTGAGTCGGGTTCTTTCTCAGAAGGGGCGGACAACGCAGGGGTCTTAACTCTTTGCCTTTTATTCCTGCGGGAGGTGTTTTTTCATGATTTCCTTCCCTTTGGCCGGTCCCCCCACCCCCCATCCCCGGCACGGCGGCAATAGCAGTAGGGACTGGAGAAATAATAATGCTAAAGGGTCTAGGACTGGGCTCCGGGCTGGGTTCTGCTGATGGAGAGCAGAGGCTTTTCCTTCACCCCCCCCCCACCTTTTCTTTTCCTCTGGCCCCCAGCTGATTCCGCGGCGCTTAGACTGGGAGGGGAAAGAGCACCGAAGAAGCTTCGAGGATCTGGTTAGTAAACTTTTCATTTCAACTTAGTCCAACTCTTTTCTCCACTCCCTCCCCACCTTGTGCCCCCAACCCGCCCCTGACCCTTCAGCCCGCAAGGCTCCCTGAGCCTGCTGTTTGGTGTTCGAACGACTGCCCCTTCCCCCTCCCAGCGTGTTCCAAAGGGTACCTTGCCCTCCTCCAGACTTGCTTATTTTCACCCGAAAACTTTCAGGAATGTGAGTTGGTTATCAGAGGTGCTGTGTTGTGGATTATGACTATGTTACAAACATCGGAGAAGGCCCATTGTAGGGGGAGAAGGGACAGAAACCAGGGGGTTATCTTGGGGCACGTACCAAGGACTGACGCTGGCCAATGACGGCGTTGGTAACAGCCCGGAGTTCCGGATTAGTGGAAGAAAACTGGTTTCTGGTTGGTCCTGGCTTGAAATACGGGAACTGAGGCCAGGCTTGGGTGTTTTTTTTTTTCCCCTCTCGCTCTCTCTCCTTTTTCCTCCTTTTTCTTTCTTTCTTTTCTTTTTTTTCTTTTTAGAGGGGAGGGGAGAAGGGGATCAGAAGGGGAGCGGACTCGGAACTGAGGAAAAGGACACAAATAAGATACTAAGGACCACTTAGTGAATTCCAAGATTTGCGGTCTTTAGATAATGGACTACTGAATAAAAACATTGTTGTATATTTCAGATCTTAGAAAATAGCTCATTAATTCATCATTAAATTGCATTTGTACAAGTATGTTTTCACTAAATCAAAAGTATGGATTGTGACCTTTTGGGATAGGTGAACATGGTTGGAGATTAGGAAACAACAATGGGCATTTTTAGAAAAACAGAATATACTTTAGTTAAGAACCAAAGCTATTGGATTGACTATTATCTCCTGCAAATATAATTTGTAATGTAAGTGCACCTTCTGCTCTGCACTGAGACAAAAAGATGATACTTTATAATTTGGGAAGGAGTTTCTGTTAGTCACAGATGTAGAATTGTATGCTAAATAAGGAGTGATGATAAAAACTAAATTCAGCTTTCTTTCCTGCAAATAAGATTAAAATGAGAAAAAATTCAGACAAAGTGGAAAAAAGTTGGAAGGATAGTAGAATAAATAAAACAAACATTATTTAAAATTTTCTCGTAATAAGAAAACATAAATTGCTGTGGTATTCATTTCGATAATTTTTTGTGTATTGCAAGAGTGAAGGCGTGTTAATTATTGCAGAATCTACTGTTTTTTCTTAATGTTTTGGAAATTAAAAAAAGCCACGTGTACTGATAAAGGTTATAATTTCTCAGCTGACTACACCTCTTACTACTTTTAATTTTTGGTCAGAAGTTTTATATTGTCGTTGTTTTATATAAGTCTTACTTGTGCCACAGAACATAAAACTATTCACTAATACATGTGTTAGCAAGTAACTACTGATTCATGTTTGAAAATAGTTTTAATATCTAGGTGTATAGACAATGTTTTTTTTTTTTTTTTTTTTTTTTTTTTTTTACATTTTTCCCTTTTCCAGTTTACAAATCTGTGTGCCAATAGGTCATTTTTGAGGAAATGGCGAAAGAAAACTTAAAAGGAAAAGTATATTTTAAAGACTCACATGGTAGAAAATCGAGTAAAGTTTTTTGGTTTTTCGATGCAGGGTTTCTCTGTAGCTTTTGTAGCCTGTCCTTGAACAGGGCTCTGTAGACCAGGCTGGCCTGGAACTCACAAAGATCTGTCTGTCTCTGCCTGGAATTAAAGGCATGTGCCACCACTGCCCATCCTCACCACATAATTTTAAAGCCAGCCAGTTTACTAGTTCTTTTCTTAAGTTGTAAATACAAGTTTTTCCAGAATTAGATTCATTGTCCATTTTCTGCTTTATATTTTTCTGACAGTACTAGTGTTATTTGAGTATAGCTATCCTTGTAGTGGTAAGAAGAACATTTAGTTGCATTTTAGATTATGTTCTCAATTTCCAGTTGCTCATTTGAGTTGCATTCATTTTTTTTCACTAAATTTTTTGTATAATTAGATTTTTTTTTTTTTGTTACTTTCTTCCCCATATATTGAAGATCACTCTCCAGAAGTCCTGAGTTGATTTAAATGGACTTTTTAAATTAGTACTAAGGCTTGCTTAACCCTTAACAGTTGCTCTTTAAAATTATTGTTAATACATGTATCTGTTTACATGGGCTTGATTACTTGATTTTATTCTGTCATATATTTCTGTTTTGTTAGCTTGTTTGAGACAGGGTCACATACTGTTGTGTAGGCTAATCTGGAGTTCATTATTAGTCTAGCCTTGCCTAAAACTCAAAGCAGCCCCCTGCTTCAGCCTTAGAAATGCTGGGATTACAGGTATGACCCACCTCATCAATATTTATTTAGTTGGTTAGTTTTGGTATTTTTACACAAAGCCTTGAGTTTGTGAGTTTCTGTGTAGAATTTGTGATACTGTTGTAGCTTCACACTTATTTTCCTTTTTCTGCAGTGTTCCCAGCAGGCATGTGCTACCATGTGCCTGGCTACATTTTCATAAACACACACACACACACACACACACACACACACACACACACACGGGATGGAACCAAGAGTCTTGTGCATAAGCTACCTTCCAAGACCTTTTATATATACATTTAAAATTTTTATGTGCAGAGAATTTTTTTATGTTTGACTATATATATTTCAGATAAACTATGTAACATTGCTTTTTCATTTAATGTTTTATATTATGTACCTTTTCCCTTTTCTGCATCCCCCTCATTCATTCGCATTTTTCATCCATGATATTGAAAGCACTAGTTAGCAATTGTATTAGAATTGCATAGGTTGTATTACCCTTGTTTAATATATAGAATAACGAAGTCATGATAATATTAAAATGAATTTATCAAAGTTATATGTTCAGAAAAGATTACATGTTCAGTATTGTCTCTAACAAGAGTATATGTATTTATGAAGATAATTGATATCCATTCTAAGAATTTCAGCTATTAATACTTTTTGGTGATATTGGGGATTAAACTAAACAAAGCAAACACTATAACCAAGCCATAGCCATAGCCCTATTAAGAGTGTTTTCATATTTGTCATTTGATTCATAACAACTACTTTAAGACAATATATTAGCATTCCAGACATACCTATATTCTTTTCTTACCTTTTGTCTAGTTGCTAACAATAGCTTAAACGGGCTACTAGACTAGCAGACTAATTTTTAAGTGCTGGTATAATAATTATGTGTAAGCATGGAAGAAATTTAAATGTGATTTAAAATCTGCTCTGTGACATACAGTCACAGTTACAAAGAATAGAATGAAACCCAAAGCACGTGCTCTTCAAACCCAATACTGTGCAGTGTCACCACACTAATTGATATGGTAGGATAGTCAGTTGTTACTTTTGACTTACTAGAACTGCGTGCACATTGTTGCTCACCTAAATAGATTTCTTTTTATCACTTAACTAGATTTAGCTGGAGGAAATCCACGATAGTAATTAACATTTTTCTGGTGATTTATTTGATAATTCTGGAAAAACTGGTATCTCAGTACAAGTGAGGCAGCTTTGTAAGTGAAGACAGTAGATGATAGGGAGGTAAAATTTTAGATTTCATGAATTCTGCTTACAAAATTTTGTCTTGAAGTCATCGTAGTCTTTCTGTGTGAGAGAAATAGGGGAGATGTGTGTTTGTGTGTGTGCATGTGTGTGTGAGTGTATTTATGTGTGTTTTCTGTACATGTGGAGACCAGAGGTTGATGGGGTATCTATCTTCAGTTGCTCTGTTTTTTTTCTTTACTTTTTAGTTAGCACCAGAATAAAGTTTTAGTTTTTTCTTTTATTTTTAGTTTATAACTACCTCATTTTCCCTTCCCTTTTTTCCCTCCAAACCCTCCTATATACCCCTTCTTTTTCTCTTTCAAATGCCTGATCTCTTTTTCAATTAATTGTTGCTACATAAATATACATATTTGTATACACATATTCCTAAATATAACCTGCTTAGTCTGTATATTAATTGTATGTATATTTTTAGGGGTGACCATTTAGTATTGGATAACCAATTGCTGTGCTCTTCCCTAGGCAAGACTGTTTCTTCCCCCACTCTTGGCATTCCTTATTATTTTAATAGACTATCTTTTATATATCTTTATAATTTCATTCATCTAAACAAAGTATTTTGGTAATATTCACGCTATACACCTTATTTTTTGAGACAGTACCTCACTGAATCTACAATTTTAATTCAATTACACGAGCTGGTCAGAAACCTCCAGGGATTCTCTTGTATCCATTTCATCAAGTCTTGGATTACAAGTCCATGTTGCCATGACATGCATGCTGATGATCCCAACTACGGTCCTCATGTTTGTGTGGCAGGCATGTTACCCACTGAGCCATCTTTACAGCTTGCCTGAAACCATCTTTGTCATGTTTTTCACATTATACTACATGACTGGTAGTATGACTTGTGTGATTTTGGTTTTTAGTTGTTCTCTGATTACTTAGGAAACTTTTTGGTAACAAATAGCAATTTAACACACACACTCACATACAGATTATTTAAATTGTTACTGAGTTTACTCAGTACCTTCTTTACTGAGCAACTTCTAGAATAAAGACTTAACTTGATTTTTATCTACATTCAGGTTTATCGCCCTTTTAGCAAGCTTCCTTCCCCTCTTTTGTTTGTTGTTTTTAGACTATGTTAAATTGTAGCTCTGGCTGTTCTGGAACTTGCTGTGTAGACCAGACTGGCCTGGAACTCAGCAAGATATCTCTGCCTCTGCCTCTGCCTCAGGATTAAAGGAGTCCCAAGTCCAGCCACTTTTAGCACTTCTTGAAGTGCTGAAACCTAAAGAATGCTTGACCCAAGGAGGGTTGTTTGTGGTTTCTTTTTCCTGGGGCAATCTTTAAACTGGTGGAAAGAAAACAAAAACTACTATTAATGCTGATTAACATTTACAAAGGGAGTCTTAACTCCTTGTAACCTGTGTGGCTAATGAGTGTTCTGGAGCCAGACCTGGTGGCTCACCTTTAATCCCATCACTTAGGTGGCAGAGGCAGGTGGATCTGGTCTGCAAAGCAAATTCCAGGACTGTCAGGGCTGTTACACAGAGAAACCCTGTCTGGAAGAAAACAAAAACAAAACAAAAAACAGAAAACAAACAAAAAAAAATGGCAGAAAAAATGTTTTGATTAGAGAACCTGTTTCTATTTCCATTTCTGCACAACTATCCCTCTTCATATTCAGTAACATTTCTTACATAATTTGAAAAATCATTTTTTTTCTATAAAAGTTGACAAAGATTTAAGATCTGAGTTTGTGATTCAATCCTGACTTTAAATTATTAATTTAAACCTAAATTATTAATTAGAGACCACTTAAGAGACAGCTCTTACCTCTAGGGAAAAATTTTTACACACTTTTTTTGCTGGGTCCTTTTTGCTTGTTTGTTTTGGGTTTTTCCAGACAGCATTTCTCTGTAGTCCTGGGCCATCCTCCATAGACCAGGCTGGCCTGGAACTCAGAGATTTGCCTGAACCTGCTTCCTGAGTGCTGTAATTAAAGGTGTATACACCATTGCCGTACTGTTTTTGTTTCTTTAGATCTCTGTATTCAGAGTTTTGATTTACTTCTGTTTGTTTTCTCCATAGAGACTGTTGCTTCTCTTAGGACAGTGGAATCTTTTGGAGGGGGTTCGGGCAGGACATCATGTGTCTCTAGGTGTACTGAACCTCTAGGGCAGTTATGTGAGATTTTTTTTTCTGGGGGTGTCTGTGTAGCTATGACTGTCCTGGAACTCAATCTGTAGACCATTGTCCTTGAACTTACAGAGACTCACTTGCCTCTGCCTCCCAAGTGCTAGGATTAAACGTGTGAGTCACCACTACCTGGCTTATTTAGGGTTTTATAACAAGTATAAATAACTGTTAAGTTGGTCAAGGGCCAAAAAATATTTGCCAAGAAAGACATCCCGTATAAGATTTACTTGCTATGAGGAACTCAGTTTGTCCAAGAGTATTGGAAAATTTGCATAATTTGTATGTATGTAAATAGTACCATAAAGCTCTTTTCCCTTTCAGATACTGTATGTATTTACATGTGGCATATTTATTAAATAAGCTAATGTGAACGGTAATTAGCATGCCCTGGGATTTTAGGATATTGGTTTCTAGAGATAATATTTTTAGATTGAATCATCTGGTCCTTTGATTTTAATATTATTTGCATATTTTAATGAAGTATGTGCTTGTTAAAGCACACTGAAGATGTGAACAATAGTACAAAGTATTTTCTAAATACAAACCTGACACATTATTTCCAAGCATCATGATCATTAGCTAGCTTCTACCCATTTTAGTAGATTATACTTAATTTTAGCAAAAGTTTACAAAGAGAATTGACCCAAATTGCTAGGTGTGTTGACACACCTGTTAGCACTTTACTTCTGAGAAAGAAGAGTCTTGTTATGTAGCTCAGGCTGGCCTGCAACTCAGTATGTAGAGCATGTTGACTTTTAACTTTTTGTAATCCTCTTGCATCAGCCTCAGAGTGCTGGAATTTTAGGCATGTGCCTCTTTGCTAGGCACTAGTAGTTCAGATATTTTCTTTTTTCTTTGAGATAAGATCTCACTGTGTATCCAGAGAGGGTCTGGAACTTGCTATGTGGGCCTGCAACTTGCTATGTAGGACAGATTGGCCAAGAACTCACAGAATAGAGATCTGCCTGCCTCTGCCTTAGATTCTTGATTCTTTTCTTAACCAGGTAATTCTCAGTGCTTAATAAATGAAGTCAGAGAATTTACACATAACTTGGTTTTTATGTTTGATATAATCATGTTTGCTATTTTGTACCTCATTTCATAGAAAATTGTTGAACTGATTTAATAAAGATCTGTAGAATAGCCAGGCGTTGGTGGCACACTTGGGAGGCAGAGGCAAGCAGGTTTCTGTGAGTTTGAGGCCAGCCTGGTCTACAGAGCCCTGTTCCAGGACAGCTAGGGCTGTTACACAGAGAAACCCTGTTGAAAAAGCCACCCCCCTCGCAAAAAAAAGAGTAGTAAAGGTTTGTGATATGTGAATGCTGTGGCAACATTTAAATATACTATGCTTATTGTGTATTTCTTTTTAAGTGGTTTATTTTAAATATTTTTAAGTGTGTGTGTGTTAGGTTTTTGTTGTTGTTGCTTTGTTTTTGTTTTGTATTTCGAGACAGGGTTTGTCTGTATTGCTTGAGAGCCTATCCTGGAACTAACTCTGTAGACCAGGCTAGCCTTGAACTCAGAGATCCACCTGCCTCTGCCTCTGGAATGCTGGGATTAAAGGCGTGTGCCACCAATTCTTTGCGGGCCTGTTTCTTAAAAATTGGCTCAAGTATTAAATACTTTTGCTCTGTGATGAACTAAGTTGGTACCTAAGAACTAAGTTTTTTTTTTCTTGTGTTTTATTTATGGTTTTTAGGTGGCAGCCAATGCACACATTCCTCCAGACTACCTCCTTAAAATTTGTGAGAGGATTGGTCCTTTATTAGATAAGGAGATCCCTCAGAGCGTTCCTGGGGTACAGACATTACTAGGTGTTGGTCGGCAGTCTCTGTTACGGGATGCTAAAGGTAAGGATATTTTTAGATATTTAACATAGTTACAGAGAAAGATTCAGAGATCAGTGTAGTTTGAAACAAATATTCACATGCCTTTAAAAATAATTTTTTTTTTTAGTTTGTGTGTACTTTCTGGATTTTAATAATTTTTTTAAATGTACAAGTGCATTTCTTTCTTCTTTGTTTTTTTGTTTTGTTTTTGTTTTTTTTTTCTTTTGGTTTTGGGACAGGGTTTCTCAACTCTGGCTGTCCTGGAACTTACTTGTCTTTGCCACCACCTGGCTACAAGTTAATTTCTAAATGTGTAAAATCAAGTCCTTTTGTGTTGAGATTGGAAAAATGTTTGTTTGTATTTTCTTTAACTAACTGGTTTTGTTTTTGGGTTTTTTTTTTTTAAAAATATAGACTGTAAGAGTACACTATGGAATGGGTCTGCATTTGCAGCTCTACACAGAGGCAGACCTCCAGAACTACCTGTAAATTATGTGAAACCTCCAAATGTGGGTGAGTTATAAATATATTTTTGATTCTTTTTTGTTTTTGACAGGGATTCTCTAACAGCTCTGGCTGTCCTGGACTTGATTCATTCTGGAACTCTTTTAATAGCCAAAAGTAGGCACTATGATTGAATTTTAAGTATAAATAAACTGTTTACATTCTTAGTTAATTTTTTTGAAGAATGATTTTTTTTTATGTATTTGTGTGTGTGTGTGTGTGTGTAGGCATGTGTCTGCATGCATATACTGTATGCCTTAAGAGGCTCCAGGAGGCCTGAAGGGAGTGTTGGATCCTGAAGAGATAAAGCTATAAGTAGTTGTGAGCCATATAGGTGCTGGAAACTGAATTGTAGTCCTCTGGAAGAGCAAGCACTCACAACCACTAAGTTTTCTCTCCTGCAAAATTTCTTAATGGGACCATATACATTAAAAATAACATTGTATTTATTTGTGTGTGCCACAATTGTGCCTGTTCCTGTGTGTGTTTGCAAATGTGTATCTGTGAGCCCACAAGTTAGGAGGTCAGAAAACAACTTGTAGACTTTGGATTTCTTCTACCATCTGGGTCTCAGGTGTCAATCTCAGGTCAGCATGCCTAGCCTTGGGTGCTTTTACACTCTGAGCCATCTCATGGGCCTCCCTCGGGGTTATAGTATTTAAAGTCATTTTATACCTAAAGCCAATGTCATTTTGTAAAAGGTGAACTTGGTTTGCTTTTGAGATAGGTTGTCATGTAGTTTAGGCTAACCTCCAATTCACTGTAGCCGAGGGTGATCTTGAACTTCTGATCACTTCTGCTTGCTCTTCACAAATGTTGAGATAATAGTGGTACCCTGCCTCAAAAACATTTTTGAACATATAGTATGGGTGGTTTTAGCCATATGGTTTTCTATTTCTATGTCTCTTTATTGAGTTTCCATAAAGTTTTATAGGGAATTGTTTAAAGATAGCTTTCAGGAGGAAACAAATGTATGTTCTGTTTATATTTCTTGGCCAAGTTTATAATGATGGTATTATGTATTTCATATCAGTCACCTTTCTATTTATTGTTGTTTTGTCTTGCTGTTTCCCATACTGGATTGGAATTCACTATGTAACCAGGCAGTCCTTTAACCTGTCTTTTGAGTCTTGGAATTATAGGCACGAACCACTACACCGTGCACTATTTGCTTTTTTTAGTATATGTGCTGCCGAAGCAAGCACGCACTACTTGTTTTTTGAGTCAGGGTTTCTCAGTGTAACAGGCTTGGCTGTCCTGGAACTCACTCTGTGGACCAGGCCAGCCTCAAACTCACAGAGATCTACCTGCCTCTGCCTCCCAAGTGCTGGAATTGAAGGTGTGCCCCACCATGGCCCAGCTTCTTGTTCTATTTTTTAGGACAAAATATCACCAATTTCAGTTCCAGTTTATAGAAATTCAGATGTCCTTAGTTATTCTTGGGACATCTCTGACCAAATTATTTTGAAGAATTACTAGTTACTAGGTCTCAGTCTAAAAACCATTTTGATTAGAACTAGGATTTCCCAAGTGCTTGTAAACCAAGGTGCTAGAATCTCATTTGGCTTCCATAAAAATGACACATTTTTCCATAGTTGCTAGTGCTTATACACTGTGCCTTAAAATTTGAATGGATATATTTAAAATACAAAGAACACATTTTGTTGTTGGCTTAAAAAAAAAAATTAGACAAGGTCTCATTATATATCCCTGACTGGCAGCAGAGATCGGCCTGCCTTTGTCTTCTAAATGTTTGGATTAAGGTGTACACCACCTTGCCCAGCTGCTGGTTAGCTTTTGGCTTTATGAGACAAGGTCTCATACCCAGGGTAGCTTTATGGTAATCCTTTTGTTTTCACCTCTCAAATGCTGGGATTACAGACTTATGCTACCATGCCTGGTTTATGAACGTAAGTTAGTAGAACTTATTAACCTTTAGAGGTGAAGCAAATTGAGGGTAGAGATTATTTCAAAAGATGATTAGACAAAATCATTGATTAAGCCTAAAACTTTATATATGAGAAATTGGTTACTTAGACGTGCATCAATAACAATACTTATTTTCATAGCCTGGATGTTACTTGGCAGAGTAGGCAACTGGGTTAAGTCTTAATTGATTTGTGTTGCTGATTCTATTTTTTTTCACTTTGTCAGGGATAGTTTATATACCAGTATTTTTATTTGTAATTTGTGAATTTAATTGAGGAATATTTTTTTTTCTTATGCTTATTTGCATTCAAAGATACATGTAGCTCTCTACATTCTGAGTGCTAGGATTAGTGGTGGTATGTGACACCATGCCAGGCTTTAAATTCTTTTATTATTATTATTATTATTATTATTATTATTTGGGTAGGGTTTCTCTCTGTGTATTCCTGGCTGTTCTGGAACTTGTTCTGTAGACTAGGCTGGCCTTGAATTCACAGAGATCTGCCTGTCTCTGTCTCCCTGCTCATTAGGTTTTTGGTTTTTTTTTTTAAAGTATGGTAATTTGTGTCGTATCTAAGAAATTGTTGTCTAACACAAGATCAAAAGAATTTCAAAATTGTATCAACATTTCTCATCCTTAGCCCTTATATAAACTTTATAAATCACTGTTGAATGCTACAAATAAGCTATGGGATTTTCCTTCAAATACCATTGAATACATGGCTCAATTTTGGCAAGATTTCAGCTGTTTATTTATTGTTTTTTTTTTTTTTTTTGAGACACGGGTTTTCTGTAACTTTGGAGCCTGTCCTGGAGGTCGCTTTGTAGACCAGGCTGGCCTTGAACTCACAGAAATCTTCCTGCCTCTGGCTCCCCAGTGCTGGGATTAAAGGCGTGCACCACCATCACCCAGCTGGATTTTATTTATTGTTAGGTCATATATACTACGTTTCCAGTTATTTTTATACAGACTTTGTGATATTTATTTACTAAATTTGGTGAGTTTTAAAAATATACTTTGAAATTGCTTGCGTGGGTGATTATGTCAACACAGAAAAACAGATTTACTGTTATCTTTTTTCCCTTGAAATTTCTTTCTTCAATTATGTAATGGTTGAAGTAGTAAGGATGGACTGGAAGTCTTTGCTTTGTTCCTTGTTTTAACATTAAAACTAGGCAATCTTCAGTGCTAAGTATCATCATGGATGTTTTTATTGAATCAATTTGAAGTTGTTACTAGTTCTATTCCTACTTTAAAGAGGTTTTAAAATAAAAAATGGATATATCCCTCTTAATTTTGTTTGGAATTTCAACAGTAATTTATGTACACATATTTTAAGCAAGTACTTTATTACTAAGCTATATTCCCATTGGGTTGCATTTTTTGATGTAGGGTCTTATGTAGTCCAGACTAGGCATTTACTCATTGTGTAGCAGACAATGATTTCTGCTCCTGACCCAATTCTCCTGTTTCCATCCTATTGGCTAGAATTATAGCTGTCTCCCAACATGATTGGCTTTATGGGGTGCTTCAAATTGAATCCAGGACTTTGTGCTTGCTAATTATTTTACATTTTTAATCCTTTGAGAATTCAGATAATTTATTTTATTATACTCTTTTTAAAAATGAATTACCTGGGTGGTGGCATACACCTTTAATCCCAGCATTTGGGAGACAGAGGCAGGTGGATCTCTGAGTTCCAGGCCAGCCTACTCTTCAAAGAGAGCTCCAGGAGAGTCTCCAAAACCTACTGAGAAACCCTGTCTCAAAAAACAAAAACAACAAAAAAAAAAAAAAAGGAAGAAAGAAAGTTTTACAGCAGTGTTCAGTTCCTTGAGACATTTCTCCAGCCCACAAGGTCAAATTTGCATCGATTTAGCAAAACACTCCTGAAAAACTTTCATTTTAAAAAAGAATGTGATAAAATATGTTTTATGAAAATATTAAAGAATTAATGTGATATGGTCTTTAGAGATCAAACTATGAGGAGTGAAACATTTTTTTGCATTAAAAATATAAAACTTACAAATGTAGTAGGGCAACCTTGAACCCTTGGATCTCTTATTTCCACCTCCAGAGTGGTGAGATTATAGGCTTACCAGAATGTTTGAGGACTGGAGATGGCTCAGTGCTTAAGAATACTTGCTGTTCTTCTAAGGAACCAGGGCTTCAGTTCATAGTACTCACATAATGGCTTAAGTTTCAGGGGATTTGACATCATCTTCTGGCCTCTGTAGAAATCAAGCCATGCATATGGTGTACAGATGTACATGTAGAAAAACACATAAATATATACATATAAACAAATTAAAAATAAAATTCTGACCTCACCTGTATTCTACACTATGTTAAACTGTTTATTGCAGTGTTCCTATCCTTTGTGCATCATTATTCAGTAATGATGCTTAACATTTCAGTGAAATGGAGGTGAGGGAGCCTTTTGCAGGAATTTAGGAATTAATTCCCAGATACCATTCTCCATGCTAATATCTCACTTTAAATATATGTGTGGATACCTTGATGAAGGGGGTATTTCTAAATTTCTCTAGAGAAAACACACTGTGACTGCAGGGGCTGGAGAGATGGTGGTTAAGAGTACCTGCTGTACATGCAGAAGACTTGAGCTAGGAAGCCACATTGTGGTTCACAACCATTATAACTCCAGTTTCAGGGGATCCAACATCTTTCTCTGACCTCCACAGCTACCATGTATGCACATGTTGCACAGACATGCAGACAGAAAAACACATGCAAATGAAACTGTAAAAAAATGCCTATAAGATTTGCATTTTTATTTACACTCTAGTTGTGCTATTAGCTGGATGCATGTCTAATACAATTGGGTTTTCATTGTGCCAAAATTAAATTAGGAAGAAATTTAAGCTAACTTCAAACACTATAAATACTTAAGTAAATACTGGGACATATGCAATATTCGTGGTATTGCTTGGGAGTCTTACCCTATTTTCACTAAATGTTATATCCTCATCCTTTTAAAGGTTAATATTTGTTATGGGAACTGGTAGTTAAGACTAAAATTTTGTGCAAATGCAGGTCTGCTGCTGAGCTAGTTTGCCAT